TCTCTCTCTCTCTCTCTCTCTCTCTCACACACACACACACACACACACACACACACTTCATTCGCTGACGTTTGTCCCATGCACACGCCTCTGGACAGAAGCCATGCTTATTAAAATCCGTGAAATTAGAGGTAGCCAACTCCATGCCCTGGTGGTTTGTGGTTTGCATTACGTAAGGATTTGGGGGTTGTACAGCTAAAAACTTAAGAGTTTCCTTCTTGTCAGAAAAGAAAAGTTGTGTATTAGCTGAGAATAAGATGCTTGTGCTGGGAGTCTGTAAAGCTGGCTTGATTTTTCCAGGCGGAGTTAAGTCTGCACCGCCCTCCCTGCCCCTTTGCCACATCTGAAGATGTTTGTTTTGATCCCAGAACCTACTTCTTGGTGTTATTGGAAAGGGATGTTGGGTTGGGGATCCGACCCAAGCAAGCGACATAAAGACAGCTGGAGTTGAACAGCTTAATTGGTTCCTGGCTCTGCTGAGAAAATGTTGTCGGTACCTTGGAGAGCTCCCGGGGTCCAGCCAGGCCAGCCTTGGGCCGAGGACACGTGTGCAATCAGTTCCTTTAGACAAAACGGGAAAGCATCAGGGAAAAGAAGGAATATTTACTTGAGAGAGACAGAAACAAGGACAGAGATGGCGTTGGGGACAGAGACAAGGATCAGGAGAGGGGAATAGGGAGAGATAAGAGATGAGACAAGGTTGTGAATGTAGCATCCTGTAGTTGGCTGGTTTCCTTCTCTCATCCTCATCTAGGGATCTAATATAATTTGCTTCTTTCCCCACATATGCTCACATGTACTTAAACTTTGGGGGCCAGGTCTTGAAGAAGGTTCAAGAACGCTCTACATAGACCCACCCTGGAAATGCTAAAAACTGTTTGGTAGGCCTCTGCTGGGCTTACTCATCTCCAGTCTTTGAGTTCTCCTGCAAATGAATGGGAATTCACCAGGAAGGGTTTTTAATAGCCACCTGGAAAATTCAGCCCCAATTGTTTTATTTCACAAGACTAGAGTAATATAGGAAGCCAGTAGCCAGCTCTGTGGCTGGCAATGGCTTCCTAATTAAATTTTCCATGGGCACCTGCTTTTCTTAGGCAGATGGAAAGTAAAATGATCATGATGGGAAGAAAATGAATATAGGAGTAAAACATCCTAATAAAAAAATTGTCCAAAGAGCCCAAGTAAGGGTATAATGCAGGTAAGCATATCAGAAACCACAGTGACCATAAGACTAATTTATTTTACAATATAATGGAATAAGCCCCATGGAAATCACTTGTGGAGTATCTAAGAAGCTGATGTAGCAAACTAGTTGGCATTATTAACTGTATGGAATATAGTTTCAGCAAAGTAAGAACAGCATTTATACAGTGTGTAATAGTTTAGAAAGTCTTTTTGATTTATGTTTTTCATTTACTCTACACATCATCATGGCAGCCCATGAGAAAGTTATGAACTATAAGTTAGACTTCTGTTTTTAAAAAAAGCTATCTCAATTCTTGAACAAGAAGTTCTTTGTCAGTGTATCTGTCATCATTAAAATGGATTTTATAAGTTCTATGAATGGCTTGTGAAATTTCAATTTTGACTTGGATCACATCTGCAGAGATTTTTTTTCTAATTCAAATAGGATTGAAGAATGTGCTGCTAAAAAAAAAAAAGAAAAGTTCAAAGAGAAAACAACCGGCAGAGGGAGAAGAGGACTTCAAAGGTAAGACCCAACATTTATTGTGTGTAAAAGCAGAATCACCTTGCGGTGTGCATGCAGATGCAGAAGAGAGTTTCAAAGGGAACCTGGGTTCTCTCTCTCTACTCATTTTGGCTTTGGACTTTATGTACTATACTAAAAATATAGTACATTGTACATCTTAAAGGATTAAAGTAATTGATAATGAGATAATTACACATCATTACTCTTTTATAAATTATGAAAGTGGCTACATATTCACTGACTTGGAATTAAAAAGCTCACAGTACAGAATCATGATCTCTACTACTATTCCAGAAAGATAAAGTATCTCTGACATGATCCAATGGTAGAAGCCCATCTTGAGGTCTCAGGTCGTGCTGATAAGCTCCAGAATGCCTGACGGAAAAATGAAAGGCTGTCAGCAGGCAGCCCCGCCCCCTGCCTCCCCGGGAGCCCACCAAGTCCTCTAAGTGAGCTGACCTTTGGATCTGGGTTTGGATAAGTGGTCTAGATGGCCTGTGTGCCTACACCGTGTCTCTTGCAGCACTAGCCCTGTAGGAAAGTGGCTTTAATGAGAGCTTCACTTTCATTTTCTCAGAATTATTTTGAGGGAAAGAAAAGCAGTAGGAAAAATTGAATGATATTTCACAGTGAATTAACAGAACAGAGCCTGTGCCTGCCTGGCCACACACTGACTCACAGCCGTGGGAAACACAGTCCATTTTGTACCTCCTTTTGTTGCCTCTCTTCCCTCAAGGAGGCCGGGAAGACAAACAAGTGATCTTAGAGCTTCATAGGGCAAAAGCGTTTATTTCTGTTTTCATGGATACAGGATTCTTTAATGTGAAATAAAAGGTAACGGCATGCGGGGCTGGGGTTGTGGCTCAGCAGTAGAGCGCTCGCCTAGCACATGTGAGGCCCTGGGTTCAATCCTCAGCACCACATAAAGATAAATAAATGTATAAAAATATATATATAAAATGTTTTTTTWAAAAAGTTAACTGCATGCATTGGACTGAAATTCAAATTCCCAGCAAAATGATGCTACTACATACTGGTGCACGTAGCAATCACAATACCACATTCAAGCATTTGTTTGCCTAACTAAGACATCCCTAAAGGGATTCTCCGCATGGCTGTCTCCTGCTGCAATGCCTCTTTATGATGCCCCTTTTGCTGCCTCCATTGCTTCAAGAGTGTGTCTCCTTCCAGCCCAAGAGTCCACTGAAGGCCCCCTGTGTCTGGCCCACTTCATAACAGCTCTCTCACAGGTGCCTGGCACAGAGCTAACACTTTCAAAACACTGGGGAAAAGGAAAACCAGACATGAGGGACTACTCAGGATATTACCCACCCAGAAAATTCCAAAGTTCCGAGATTAAAGTGGTGAACAGGAAAGAAAAGCCCCCTCCTCCCTCATGGGGCTTACAGTCCATCAGACCACAAACATGCCACACCTGGAATAGCAGGTGGTAACAGGTGGCGGGAAGCCAAGCAAACCTGGACAAGGGGACAGAGCCATGGGTGTTGATATCAGACACACAGATTGTGGGATGGTGGCGAGTCTCTTGGGAGAATGAGAGAGTCTCCTCTCTTTCCCTGGTCTCAGAGAGGCAAGAGGCATGCCATGATGCAGATAAGTGAATAGTCCCTTAAAGTGTAACCATGCATGCAATGAGGCAGTTGCTATAGACAGAAAACAGCAAAAAGAAAGCCAAGGAGGATCATCTAGAATGCCCTCCAGCATTCCATTCAGGGAGGTGAAAACAACAGCTTCTGCAGAGATGACCCAAGGACCCACCCATGTGTTGCCTGGGCTCCGTCCAGTTGCCAGGCGGAGAGGGAGAGGGTACCACGAGTGTTTGCAGATGTGTACTAACATGGTGTGACTTAAATTCGGTTCTAGAGGCATTTTTATTCTCCCCTCTACTCATGCTTTCTCTGAAGTGAGGAGCCCTCTGTGAGATCTGTCACTTGACCACACTCATGGGGCTTGACATGGCCATCTTGGCTGCCGCTGCTGCAGCTGCTGAAGTACACCCAGAACCCCGGCAAACTTACTGGGAAAGAAAACACTGACCAAACTACCAATCTTGGCACCCCCTCCATTCCTGTCCTGATCCTAGTTTACTGAATATAATTTAATGGCTGCCAGCTTTGAAAGTGACTTTATGAAGTGACCTCCTGTATCCTTTTTATCATATCAGATGTCCGTCAACCAAGTAGGTTCCAATATTTGTAATATTCTCTGGGACAAAAAAAAAAGAAAAAAAAACTGGGGGGAACAAAAAGGTATGAGTTCCTCTATGAGTCATGTCTGAGTCTGCTGAGATTTGGTGGGTCCACACCCTTCACCATCCCTTGTCATATTTCAAACCTCCTGTTCTTCCACAGGGTCCTTCTCCCCTGGAACTGAGTCCCAACTAGTCATAACTTGACAAAGACATATTGATCCTCTCAGACCCCCAGACACTACTGTTTTAGGCAACATACATTATACGGAAGCAATGTGTTAAGCACAAAGCACACATCCTATGTAGCAAGTTAGCAGGTAACAAACCCAACCAGTAACTTGCATTCTCCTTTAAACGGAAGCTTCCTACCCACTAGAATTAAGAATCTGGGACTGATAACCAATCAGAGTACTAAGGGAGGTAGGAAGTCAGTAAATACAGTTTGTTTGTTTTCAACAAAAAGTAAGTGACTCATTCTATGTATCTGTAGCCAAAAAAAAAAAATCCTAGAAAACTACATCTGGAAGACATTAAAGGTCAATTAGATCCAACTGTCTTATTTTAAGGACTGTAAAACCACAGCCCAGAGAGGTCAGGAGCGTGCCTGAGAGCCCGTGAGCAATCGTGGGCAGCTCAGAAACGAGCATTTGAGTCCAGCCTCTTGTCAAGGGTGGTCAGCACGAGACAGGCCCGGTTCTTGTTCATGCTGTGTGCTCCTGAAGGGAAAGTGGGGCTCGTGGGGAGTCCTGTCTGCAAGGTATCCAGCAGCACTGAAAACCCGTTCTGAGGAGCCGTTCCGGCCCAGAAGAGTTGGTTCTGTGATGTTACTTGTACCATTTCTCAGGAGGTGGGACCAGGGACTAAAGCAGGAGCATTGGGCTGCTGTGCAGAGTGGCTGTGGGAGATGAGGATGGTCTGCCACATGGTCCAGCCCTGCACCCGCTCAGTCCTGAGGAAGAGCCACCCAGCACTGAGGAGAGCTCCCACTGCCACTGCGAGGGGCTTTTTGTTCCTGTGGTGCCTGCTCCGTTCCTTCCCACGTTAGTCTCTGGTGCTTTATAGAAAACCTGAAATATGTATACCTGGATGAGTGGCTCTCACTTTGCAAGTATGTGATGCAGCCCGTGCCCCTGCTTATTCTATTAATACCACMTTTCCTCTCCTGACTCACAGTGTGACCTTTAGCAAGGTGATTTTCCTATGCCTCAGTTTCCTCAGTGACAAAGCAGTTAGTAATACGACTCGCAGTTAGTAATACGACATCTTGAAGGTGAGTTTAAAATGATTCTGCTTGCATATCACTAGTAACAGGCTCTTATTAATCATCCTCATTGTCAAAGCACTAAATAGAAGGTACTGAAGAGCTCATCCTAGCACTTAAAATAGGAGAACTAAGCCACAGTCCTCTGACCCATCAAACTCTGGTGCACTAATGAGGCAAAGAACATTCTGAGATCTTGACTTGTTAYGGGATGACAGCCTTGTGAATTGGCAAAGATTAGAACAGTTGTTCCTTTACCTCCTCTGCACTGTCCTCCTGGGTGATTTCCTTTGATGTCAGCTGTACCCAGAACAAGGAAGTGCCACTGTGACCAACAGGAAGGCAGATGAGGCACCTAACTGGCCACCACCAACGGGGCTGCTCACATCATCTTTCTAAGATCAGACCACATCTTTCTGACCTTGACTGCATTTCTTAACCAAAAGCATCTGGGGCCAAGGGCCCACATTTCCAAGATGTTGAGTGGGTTCGCTTTGTGCCCCTGGGAAGGGTCGACGTTAACTGTCCCAAGCTTGCCTCATGACTCTAGCCAACCACACTGAGTGGCCACACACAGGCGCTAGATAGAATGACAGGTCGTTGTCCTTGAAGAGAAGCATGCTAGTTGAGTTTTGATGATAATTGGAAGAACTTAACATGTCTCTGTTGGCCTGCATTATAGCACAAGAGAGGTTTTCCCTAAGAGAATTGCCTTCTGTGTTCCCCTCACTTTATCGTAGGTAGACTAGGTCCACACAAGGAAAGAAATCTAGAAGACAATTGAAAAATGCAAACAAGCAGATCTTATTTCTAGCTGCACATCTATCTGCTCATGTAGAGATCAGAAAACCAAAGACAGAGGATAACTGAGAATTCTCTGACTCACCAAAATTACTGCCCCTCAGTAATTACTTTTTTTTAACTATGAATTATTAACCAAAATAAATGCCTGTCTCCAAGGGTATCAGTTAGTTCAAATTAAGTTGAAATTTCCATCTTAAAAAGATAGAGCCCCAAGCAGCCCGCCCACAGCATAGTTTCATTTAAAAACTCTGAATTCTTATTTATGCTGCAGACTTGGTTGGAAATCATAGAAGCCTGGATCTACTCTCTCCATTACGCTCGAGCCACCCACATAGACAGATGTATCCACAAATAATGACTGAAGTACATAGTGTTAGAGTTAGTGAGGTGTAAATTATTGACCGCGCCATTTGTGATTAATAAAGCATGAAGCTTATGTTGTTCTGAAGCATTTTAATCAAGCTTCTGTACAGCCTGAAAATCAGGATGTCAGAGAAAGATGCATGCACTCTGCAGGTAAAATTCAAACTAGTAAGATGGTGCTGGTCTCCCAGGTAGAATCCGTCCACAGGGGAACATGGTGGAATGTCTGAGAGGACAGTCCAAGACAAATTCCATCTGTAGCAAGTGAGAGTGCCTGCTTCATGCTCTAACCAGTCAGCCTGAAAACGCCTTGGTTCCAAGCTATTAAAGATTTCTTGTCCAGGCAATGAAAATCTCATCCACCTCATTGCCTTTTCTTATGTGCCCTGTGCTTACGTTTTTGCATAATTTAGGGCCCCTGCTGCAATGCCTGGTTTCACTGACACAGAACCTGTTCTAGCCATTGATTGCTGGGGGTAACTTTGCATTCAACAGAAAAGCAGAGCAGCTTACAAGGAAGACAGGACTTCCAAAGTGTCTTTCCTCTTAAGAGAGGAGGGTGGTTCCGATAGAATGACATGATTCAGGCGAGTTCTCACCTTTAGTGTGTCTCCTGACCCCGAGCCCAGAGCCTGGGGGCTGATGCAGGTGGTGCTGTCCTTCCAGCTGGGAAGAATGACTTCTTGCAGCGGCAGCGGCTGTGGGTCCACACAGGTGCAGGCTGCTCCTGAGGGCGGCCACCAGCGCTACGGAGTCCGGTCCTACCTGCACCAGTTTTACGAAGACTGCACGGCCTCCATCTGGGAGTACGAGGATGACTTCCAGATCCAGAGGTCACCCAGCCCGTGGAGCTCTGTATTCTGGAAGGTAAGGAAGGAACGTGGGTTTCACTTGGCCAACAGGGAGCGTCGCACATGGTAAACACTGTGGCTGGGGGAATCAGGAGGTTCAGGGCCCCACGACACTAGATAGTTTCCTCCCCTTAGATAAGGAGAATCTAAGCCCCTGGGCCCAGAGAGGCCCCCRAGTGCAGTGCGACTGGGGCAGTTCACTCACTGAGAAACCACCCTAGGCAAAGGACACCCTTCCAGCCCCCCTTACAGACTTGGGTTGTTTGACAAATGGCAGCAATTGTTTAAAAAGGATACAATTAGGTATTGAGAGAAAGTGAATTCTGAGACATGAAACAGTGGTCAGACTACCTCTTCCACACCGGAGGCTCCGGGAGCCACCTTAGACCCACACGCAGTCTCCGCCCCCTCCACGGGCACTGACTGCGTGCTGAGAGGGCTCCAAGTTCTGGAGTTCAGAGTGAGGAACTGGACGAACCCCTGCCCTCAGGAACTGATTAGCCTGTCGTGGGAAACAGCCAGGGACAGGAAAAGCCCGTGATAGATGTCAGGTAGTGACAAGAGCCGTGAAGGGAACCAGGATGAGCAGGGTGATGGAGCTGGTGTGCAGGGCGTGGACAGCAGAGTGCCTTTCAGAGGAGATGGAACCCGGTGCAGACCAGGGCAAGCCGAGGTCTGCGGCTCATCAGGCTGAATGTCCTGTGCTGGGAAATGGCAGGTCCCCAAGCCCTGACAGGAGGAGAGGTCCAGCCTGGCTGGAGAGGAGTGAGCGAAGGGACAGGCGGATCCAGGAAAACAGCAGCACACAGATCGATGAGGGGTCCGCAGATGACAGTGAAGCTTTGGGCTTTTACCTCCGCACGCGGGCAGCCCCCTGCAGGTGTGTGCAGCAGATGGCACAGTCTCACCGATATCAGAACAAGATCCTTCCGGCTGCCATATGGAAAATARAGTATCAGTGGGCAAAGGTGAGTGGCCAGATTACCTCAGCGGTTGTAAAAGCTCCCTGGTGAGAGATGATGGCAGTTTAGACCAGGGTGCGGCTGGTGGAAATGGTGACAGTCAGTCCAAGTTAGCACTAAGTTTGAGAGCAGGCTCTCAGGATGCTGATGGACTGGAAGTGGGGTGTGAGGGCCGCGAGTCGAGCACTACCCAGGACCTTCGAGGTAATGGTGTGTGGAGCTGGCAGGAGGAACCAGGAGGTACCTATTAGATATCCAAGGAGAGATTTTAATGGCCATTTAAATACCCCAAGCCACGGCTCATGGCTTTGGAGTTACTGACACAGAGTGCACAGAACATAGCCGAGATCACCCAGGAAGAGACTTAGACACAGAAGAGGGCACTGGGACAGCCCGATGTTTAGGAATAGAAAAGAGGAGACATAAACTTGCAATTTATTGGTAATATAGTATAACAAGCAGCAGTACAGTGTGGTGAGTGTCCGCATGGATTCCTCCCTCAAACTACAGAAGTTCAAACCCCCGCTCTCCTCTCCCACAGCCCTGTGACTTTGGGCCTCCCAACAGTAACACTCGAAATACCCACCACAGAAACACTGTGAGAATTAAATAAGGTAATATTTACAAAGAGCTTAAAACAATGACTGATTCACACCCAGTTATCATTTGCTAGACAAGTTATTTCTAGATGCTAATCTAGAACACTGAGTTCTTAAATGGAAATAAAACTGGAAATCTATTTAAAACGTACATATTGGGTAGCAGAGTTGTTAACATGGATTACCCAAGACTGGTGCTAATTCAGACTCATGCTGTGGTCACATGCTCTGCATTAGAATTAGTCAAGTCAGCTTCCTTGCCCTCTAGAAATATCTTCTCTGATGAATCCTCCCTGGCCTGGACCAAGGAAATACACAGCCATGCTCATGTCTGGTATGGTCAGATATAACCAGGTGGTTGCATGGTTACTTTCTGCTCCTCTCTCCATCCCTATAGCTACAGAGGAGAGAGGGAGAGAGAGAGAGATCTATTGTGCCAATAGCCTTATATCTACTGACATACAGGTTATTACAAGCATCCATGTACACCCAAAGCAGGCCAAGTTCATGATCTCATAGTTATTTATGTTCCTGCAAAGTCCAAGTCCTAGATTTGTATCCTAATCATTAAATACTAGAAGCCTCACATCAACCTGCATGACCTGAGGATTCACTGTCTTAGAGCCCTAATCTGTACCAAGGGAATAAGCCAACTGTTCTTGAGCTGCTCCATGGGAAGGCGAGTGAATTCACTTCAGTGTTTATGAAGTGCTCAGTGCCAGTGCAGAGAAAGGTACCAGTCATGCACCTGTTTCTATTATGTGCCTTTTCAATGTTGTTGGGTTCTTTTATCATTTCAAGCTGCATCTGTAGGCAGTTCAAGTGCTGGTGTCCCCTCTTGGCTCTTCGTGTTCCCTCCCTGGGGCTGCACTCCTAGTACCCCGACAGGGCTCCGTGCTTGAGCTCCTGAGCAACAGGCAGCATGGAGGGGTTTCTCGAGGACTCCGACTTCAGCAGGTCTGAGTCAGAGTGTTGCCCTATCATGGGATCTACATAACATCTCCCTCACAGACTACCTGGTAGGCTCTTAGATTATACAAGGTTCATTCTTCACCTCTGAGTAAGACTCAGCCCCTGACCTGAGGGAGCCCACAGTCAGGCAGGGGAAGTAGACATGGGCCCACACTGTTACCGTGCCATGCGCTAAATGCTCCTGTAGAAGCAGCCATGGCACATCCTGGGAACACAGGGCTCAGGGAGCAGGGAGGGGTATGTATCTGCTGCAGCCTGGAGAAGTGGTCCCACCCACAAAGGGGAMCATCCATGTGCAAGCAGGAGAGGGGCAGCCCAGGAGGAAGAAGTGCATGCATTTCTGAGCTGGGAGAGGTGGTAGCATGTTCCGGACTCTGCAGACAGTGTGGTCCAGGTGGAGTAAACATTTACAAGTTCAGGGAGTTCAGTCACATGTGAACTGAAAATGCACGCAATGAGCAGATAACAGAAGTCTATGAAAGATGTGCAAGAAATCTTCTCCAGGACTTCTAGGCTTGAGGGAGGCAAGACAATAATGAATTGGGGTTTTCCTGGGAGGGGAGGGAATGTCTCACAACCTGGTATAAACACACACACACACACACACACACACACACACACACACAACGCAGCATCCTCTGGGCCTCGGAATCAATCCTAGGTTACATGGGCTGCAGCAGCTGCTCTGGTTTACCCAATGCCTATGGCTTCTTGCATCTTTAAAAGTCTACATGATGTGGTCTCATCTGTCCTCTGCCACTTGCTGCCGCCCAAGGATCAATCAGGTGGAATGTTGTTCTGATCCTTGCATTTGACCTTGACTGAGGCTGTTGCCACTGGATTGTCTGTGCAGCACACAGCCCAGGATGCAGGCATTATCCAGTCTTCTCGCTCCCAGCCATCCTCTCCTCACCTCAAGGTTAACCTTCTACCTTCTCCTCAGCCTGTCTCGGAAATTGCTCAGAGGGCCCTCGATACCACGTGCCTCCTCCATAGCCTTCCTAAGGTGGAGGTGGCTCTGTCCCCTCTCTTTCCCCTCTGGACCCAAGTGAAGCTCTTCCTCTCAGCTAATTCCTCTGAGCTACATCAGAATTTAAACTTAGATTTCTCTTCAAAGTTCTGGTGGATATTAAAGAGTTGGGTTAGGAGCTGTAGGAGACTATTCAGAGAAACCATGTGACATAGCTTTTGTTTTAAAAGATTTCTCAGATGACACTAGAAGGATGGTCAGGGTCAGTTTTGACCAGCAGTGGAGAGGAGGACGCTGTGGTGGACATCCAGGCCAGATGTGATCACGGCTTCTGCCCTCAGAGTGGCCATGTGGAGGGGAGAGAGAAGATCCGTGAGATCTTTATGAGGCAAAGTCAATGTGAAGCGGACTCTATTGGCTGTGGATGGGAGGAAGCTGTCCGGGAGTGGGCAGAGGGGAGGAAGACAAAGAAATGGGAGCATGTTGGGCTTGAAGAACCTTTGGGACATTTTTCTATGACTCATGCTATTTGGAAACAGGGTATCAGAAATACATCTAGAAATATGGTCTAGAGCTCAGGACAGCAATTCAGATGGACCTGGAGATTTGGAAGTCTTTGATAAGAAGTAGAAGCTAAAACCACAGCCTTAGACCAACCCTAGTGAGGACATATTGAAAAAGAGGTGGGGTCAAGGGCGGAACCCTGGGACGGCAATATGGGCAATGCGGGCTGAAGAGAGTTGTGAGGCGGAGGGCATGTCAGAGGTGACTCCAGGGGAGGGTTTCAAGAGGGGCTAAGGGTGTGATATCAATGGCTGGAGAATACTCAAGTGAGATGAGGAGAGAAAAGTCACACTGGCTTTGATAATCGGGAGGTCATCAGTGACCAGAGAGAAGGCGGTTCTGAGGTACACATGGAGGACTGAGAACGGCAGTCAGGAGTAGGAATGACCCCAAGCAATGGGACGCGGGCTCCCGAACACACTGTGAAGACGGAAGCTATTGGATGTCTTATAGTGGGCTGGAGGAACGACGTCTCGGGGTGGGGGCTGGGGGAGACCCCAGTGGCCAGGTGGAGGGGCCGTGGGGAGACCCCAGTGGCCAGGTGGAGGGGCCAGTGGGAGACACGCTGGCCAGGTGGAGGATGCTGGGAAGGTGGTGTGAGGGCAGGCCCCAGGAGGAGCCAGACCACTGCCTGACCTGGGCACTTGCCTGGTAAAGCTCGGTGTGAGCTGAGGCAGGTCGGGCTGTATGAGCTAGAATCTRCTCAGAGTCTGTGAGGGCGCAGTCGCAGCAGCCCTGGCTGAGGAAGGAGAGGAATCCAGTCTCTGCTCTTGGCTCGCTCTCCCTGAATAGCCTCCAGCCCAGATGGCTCCTTCCCATCCAGCTCCCTGCAGCACTCCCCGCAGACGGCGCCTCCCGCCTGCCGGTCCTCCCCCAGCAGTCCTCACTGCTCCTCTGACAGCAGCTGCGGCTCTGCCTCCTGAGGAGCTGCGTCTGCAGACCTGTCTGCTCCCAGGAGCAGCAGAGGGCCCGGGGCAGACAGCAGCAGTCTAGAGGGACTGGGTCTCCACACATCCTGCGCCCTACCTAGACAGACCAGAATCACAGCCCAGACACCACCTCGCTGCCCTCTGGGGTTTGTCACGGCCTGGCAGGTCCTTGTCCCCTGCTGGGTTGGGGTGGGGTCTCCCCAGTAGCACCTCAGCTCCTCCACAAGGCCCTGAGCAGAGCCACTTGGCTCCCATGGACCCTCCCATACCCCCTGTGCTGCCATTGACGGTTCTCCGTCGGTTCCACAGGACCCTCTTCCTCTTAGGTCCAGGACCACTTCACCTGAGAGCTGGTCCAGAAACAAGTCTTACGATATACTGAACAGAATCAGTCCCCAAAAGGTCACCCCCCCAAAGTCCTGTTCCTTCCATTACTCCCCCACAGCACCCGGGGGAGCTGCTGGGCCTGCGTGTCCCCTCGGCATGCCCACAGTCCTCTCAGGGAAGTCCTGAAGCAAGTCCTCCTCATCTGTGGTTGCCCGTTGTGCCCACCACGCCCAGCTCTCCCTGCCGGTCCCTGGGTTTGGAGTTCCCCTCTGGGCATGTCTCCTGGGGCCCTCRGGATCCTTGCAGTCACCTGTCCATCACATCCTCCTCTCCTTCCTCGGCTACTCTGACTCGGTGGGGCGAGCCACTTCTCCAGTTCCGACAGTGAGCAGAGCTGCCATCTGCAAGCCACGGTTTGCCTTTTCACTTCAGGGTGACATTCCAAGGGTGGATTTTCATCTCATGTGCAGCTCCGCTGGGGAGCGGGCTGCACTGAGAATCTGTCACCTGCTCCTGCTCCACGTTGGGCGGTCTGGTGGTTGGAATTAGGAATAGTTATTGAACGTCAGGCTGGACCAGGAACTCCGGGAGAYGAGGCAGAGGCAGACAGATGGAGGGTGCCGGCTCACACACTCGTCAGAAGCTCGGAAACTAAGATGGAGGCTTTCCTGACGCCCACCATGTCTGAGGATGAGTGCCAGTTCTTGAGGAGGAAGGCAATTTAGTCATACAGGAAGCTTGGCTCCATGGGTATTTAAGTTCACTTAGTTGGTACATTCAGAATTTTCCAAAGTGAGTCGTTTTCCAAAAGTTATGAATACTGTTTAGTCTCCAAAGGTGAATTTACTTGCCACTATTTTTAGAAAGTAATCCAAGGTGTCATGCTTTACAGCCATCTTTTTCCTGCAGTACTTACATCTTATGTAGAACAGGTTCTGTTTTTTTAGTAGACATCATATTGACTCTTTTTTTTTTTTAGTTTCTTCACAAAATGACATTAAAGGACATGTGCCCACATATAGGTAGCTGAAACTCTTTTGAAATAAAAATAATAGTAAGGGAATATGCAAAATAATAATTAGTGAAGTAATAGAGAAGAGATGAGGGATCACATAGACCTGGATTAGAATTTGATCCAACCACCTGCTACCCATGAGATCTGGCACTCTGCTTCTTAGACCCTGTGACCCTCTGTATCTAATAGGTGAAACAGGAATGAAAACTCTCATAGTGTGCTTATAAAGATTAAATGAAAATATATCTAGCACTATGCCTGGGCCACAACAGACAGTCCTCTTTTCCCCTGCTTAATGGGTTATGAATATATTTTCCTTCTATTAGGCAAATCTCCTTCATCAGTGCCTCATCCCTAAAATTTAATACCCAATACACACACTTTAAATACTCAAGAGTGAATGATATTATTTGGTTCTTTATCCAACCTTGTTATTCTAACTAAAAGCAGTTAGGAACAGGAGAAAATGAAAATTTTTGCTTGAAAAAGTATGTAACTATTAACAATTCCTTGTCCCAAGAGTAATGTTAACTATTCCTTAGTCTAAATACTAAGCAATTGTTCTAATACCAATGTCCATGCAAAATAACGATTTTACAAGGAGTGTATTTCCAAATAATGGTGATTTATCACAATTTATTACTTAACCAGATGCAAAGCTAAGTGCACATTTAACTCACAACCTGTGAGGAAGGTACTCTTATCATTTGTCCCTTTGTCAGTGGGGAAATTAAAGATGAGAGAAGTGACTCTTCCTCCATGCTCCAAGCACTAGGTGGCATTGCTAGAACCAAACACATGACTCCAGCCACCAAACGGTAGGTCGCTCTCCATCTCCAGTGTTGCCTTCCACAGAACTTAGTGCAGTTCAAGCTCCATCTGCTACTCTGAACATTTAGTAGCTGCTGCAGCTCAGGTAGCTACAGGAGGGTAGAAAAAGCCCTGGGCTGGGCTGGGCTTGGGGTCAGCCCCATGGTTTCCCTTACCTGTCCCTGAARCTTGAGACCCACTCATCTTTGACCCAGCGACCCACCCTGTGTGGCCACATGTCCTTTCCTATAAGCTGACAGGTATGTTTCCTGCCCTGCTTGCTTGKAAAAGGCTCAGGAGGTGGTAAGGATCGCCTGTGGGCTCTAGCCCAAACCACTAGGAACCTATCTCTGTGCTGAACAAGTTGGGGACCCAGTGAGAGTGTGAGAAGATGAATTATTATAGGCTTTGGCTGGGTGATGGGGGAAGGGTAGGAAGAAGTGGAAGAGGGTCAGGGAGAGTCTACAGCTGGATGTTTAATAAATCTTATCTCTAGGGAAGGAAGATGATAGTGAGGCCAAAGCAACAGGGTGAAGGAGCAGCCCTCGCCACAGGGTCGGATTGGCCAGGAGTGGAGGCTGGGCCTTAGTGGCTTGCACCATGACCTTGGTTGGGTCTGAGCTGAGTCCCAGTTGTGAAGTGGGCTTGTCTTGCCTCACTCTGTCACGGCCACAGGAGGAGCTCGTCGGAGCCCGTGTTCCGGGAGACTGTGCCTGACAGAGCCTGGCCTCGCTGGGAGCCGGCAGCCAGCTCCTAACAGCCCAGCGAGYGGAAGAGTCGGGCCAGCTCCTGCTCCTCTCTTCCTTGAAACCAGGGCAGCAGACGAGGGCTGTGCCATCTGCCAGGCCAGGCGCCTCCCAACAGGAGACCACCAGATGCAGCCTGCACTTTCAGGTTGACATTCAACCCAGAGAGGTCTTCTTCCCCCTTGGTTTTTAGGTAGAAAATCAAGTCGACTTTCCACGTGGCTGTGGCCTGACTGGGAAGGGTCCCCTCTCTCGGGAAACCCCACAGGCCACCCTGGCTGCTCAGGGTGGAGCCGAAGCCCCCGCTCACTCCATCTGGCTCTGCTCTCTCTCCAGGTCGGACTCATCTCGGGCACAGTCTTCGTGATTCTCGGACTGACTGTTCTGGCAGTGGGCTTCCTTGTGCCCCCCAAGATCGAGGCGTTTGGCGAAGCCGACTTCGTGGTGGTCGACCGGCACGCCGTGCAGTTCAACGGCGCCCTCGACCTGTGCAAGCTGGCGGGGGCCGTGCTCTTCTGCATCGGGGGCACGTCCATGGCGGGGTGCCTGCTCATGTCGGTGTTCGCCAAAAGCTACTCCAAAGAAGAAAAAGTGCTTCAGCAAAAGTTTAAAGAGCGAATCGCCGACCTCAAGGCCCACACCCAACCCATCACCAAGGCACCGGGCCCAGGGGAAACCAAGATTCCAGTCACTCTGTCCAGGGTTCAAAATGTCCAGCCTCTCTCCGCCACCTGACACCCTCCCCGCCCTTCCCCCTCTCTGAGTCACACACATTGTTCAGAGGCGTTGGCCAGCTTCCCTGGTGAAGGATGGGCGCTGACAACCAGGGCGTGTTTGGCTGGGGGCAGCTGGCCTAGTGCAGAGCTCACACTTGCTCAGCTCAGGTGACGCTCATGAAGGTAGCAGCCACGTGTTAGCCAATGCACACGCACCCAGCTGCATAGGACGGGTGCTCTGAGTCCCCACCAGGAGCCCCTCCGCAGTCCCTCTCCGATATTGTGGCTTTGTGTTCCTTTCCGMGTCATTTGATCAGCCGCCGGAGGCTGACTTGGTCCATTTTACTTTCTGACCCTGGTTTTCCAACCCTGCGTGGTGCTGTCTTCCACCCTGTGTCACTGTGTGCAAGAGGTTGTCCTGTGTGCTCGTGGAAATGTGGAGTTCCCGGACGTGGATCCAAACACTAGTCCTTTAACTATATCTTAATATGAAGTTCCTGAGATCGGTTATAAATTCATTAGTGTTCTACATAAATCTTTTTGTTTTCTCCACTTTTTTTTTTTCATTTCAAAAGCTAAAATTGCCAACTTTAGAATTGAAAAAACTTAATATTAGGAATATCTAACAGCAATGTCCAAAGGCACAGAATTAGAGGCCAGGAAACCTGAGTTCCTGCTCCTCCCTCGCTGTGTGACTGTGCAGCAAGTATTTAGCTCCCTAAGCCTCAGTCTCCCCGTCTGCACAGTGGGCTCTATGGGCCTCCCCTGCTCAAGTATCTTGAGATTCTCTTTTTGCCATGTGTCACTGAGTGTCTCCCCCAAGAATGTTAATGTGGTTCTGTGGCTCTCACCATGGTGGGACTTTTTCAGAACTGAACTCCTGGAAAGCCACCAAGTCTGCCAGCTTCTCACTACCTACCTTGAATATCCACCCCAGCAACTTAAACCACGCTGTCATATTTTTATAAAGATGAAAGTAAGCCATCCTCAAATAAGAAGCCCCTGGGCGGATAGTAACCTTAAAGGGGGGTTTTGTTCTCAAATAAGATGTGTTGTTCCCCAGCAAGATATCCTCTTTATCCCTTGCACTTAATCTGTGAATTTGAATTAGACGGAGGAAAACAGAGGTGTGACCCTGGTACTGTCTCAGACTCTGTGCCGCTCCCCTCCCCCTTCACTGGATAAATAAAATACRTGAACTAGACAAACCCGAAGTGCTCGGTCATTCCTTCAGCGTGGCTGTTTTCTCTCCTGCATGTGGTTTTCCATTTTGAGGGGGAATCAGCTCTGATTGTCTCTGGCTAAATGGAAGAATAAAGGAAGCCGTCAGTGCTCGTGGTGCCCGGTTCATTTTGCACAGTGCAGCCTCAGACACGGGGCAAGTCAGCCTCCTTGGCCAGACAGGAGAAGTCGTTCTGGTTGCTTCAGGTGCTCTACWTCCTGTAGAAATACCTGAATTTCACTCGTGAAGCAGTGTGCAAGCCCCATGCATCTGTGCAAGACGGGCACCATCACCCAGCGCTCCCCCTGCTCGCCTCTTTTAAAGACCAGTGAATCTCAGAGAATGAGTCTTGACTCTGAAGCCTTCAGATTGAACAGTAKCAGCTGAAGGGACTTGGGCCTGTTTGGGTACAGGTGCCATGGCAGCCCTCAAGAGCCCCTGTGCTCCTCCCAGAAGSCCCCAGGAAGCCAGGACCCACAAGTCTGTGCCAGTCTGGAGGAGTGACTCAGCACCGCCCGAAGAGTAGCCCCGGCTCCTGGGAGTGGGAGCCTGCAGGCCCCCTCCCAGCCCCGGGGGAGAATGGAAGCCACTGCAGCTAGCAGGGGAAGGACGGCATTAGGAAGTAGTTGGATGGTCGGAGAGAACAGGGGCCATGTGCAACCAGAGAGTGAGAATCAACACCCCACTACAGCTCGACTGGCCTGGACTGGGCCGGCGTCAGGGGACTGGCAAAGTGGAAGGCTGTACAGCCTTGGTGCCGGCCTGCTGCTGGCACCTACCTGGAGGGTKCATGTCCTACTGAAGAGCCTTTGAATGAGACCCACAGCTCGCAGAAGCCCACACACCTGGATTGATAGAAGCCTTAGGTCACGGGTCCAGGCTGAAGTCCCCCAGGCAACACTGCCCACTGGTCCAGCACCACCCTTTGCTGGGGCTCTCTCAGGTGTGGACTGCCGAYGGGCTCCCAGGGCAAAGCGCCATGCCTTGGGGTGGTTCCATGAGGCTGGACTCTCGTCCTCACAGAGAACCTGCCTTGGCACCCTCCCACCTGACGGACCCCCTCTCCCACTCCACCCCAGCCCTGTGTTGTTCAGTCAACCGTATTGCTCCCGTCTCCTCCCTGGTTCTCTTCAGGGCCACGTTTCCGTGTGTTCTTCATGTCTTCCATTTGWCCACCCATTATATGGAGCATCCCACCCCACCCCACTCTGGTCAAGTTTAAAAAAATGAYATTAGAGATTCTGGAACTTCACTGACCCTGAACTCACTGCGCACAGGGACCAGCAGGAGGACTGAGGTTGGGAGGGGGTGTGCTGGCACACTGAAGCACCCTGTCTCCCAGCGCACCTCCACTGCGAGGCCTCGTCCCAGCCGTAATGACCGGACCCTCCTCTAGGTGGCTGCCGAGGCCCAAGGCCMCACCAGGAGTGATGGCACGGGAAGAGCTGAAGTGTGAGGAGTGGGGGCCCTTGGAGGTACTCCATACCTATGAAGCCCCCCTAATCCCCACAAAGCTCTGTGGGGTCTCCACTGTTAGCATTGTCTGGTCTTTAGGGGAGGGATCAGCAAGCAAGGAGACCCACCCAAGGACAACCTGCCAATAACAGAGGCGAGATCTGAACCAGGAGGCAGCTCAGAAAGCTGACTTCGGCGTGCAGAAGGGCTGCCTCTCCCCTGCCATTCCTGACACCGTTCTTCCCCTCTCCCTCCAATACACACACACACACACACACACACACACACACACACACACACACACGCTGTTGCCAGGATTTGGCCTCACAGCTGCACCTTCCATTAGAAGCTCCAGTTAGCTCCTGGGGAGCAAGGAGCAAGTGTGGAGGTTAAGTGTGCCCCAGAAACAATCACATAAGTGTTAAGTGCTCATTTAAAACAACTCCTGCCTCGTGAACAGCAAGGACCCTGCTGCCACTACACACAACAAAAATGACATGAGCAGAAGCGTTGAGTGGGTTCCCTTGTGTGGGCAGGGCTGAGTGCCTGTGCTGGCGTGACCGTGGGCTACAGCGTCGAGACTGACTTCTGCTTCATTGAAATGAAAGTTTTAAGCCAAAACTCCATTCCCGACTTCCACGGGGCAGATGTGACCTACGSCTCTGGGCTTCTGGAGGTGGGTAGGGTCTGCAGAAGGTTGACGYGCCTCTGCAGCCAAAGAGCATGACAACAGGTCGGACTACACTCGCCAGCCTTACCAGACCCCAGCCCTCACCAGCCAACACCTGGGGGTTCCCCTCACACCCCACAACTGAGGTCCCCAAACCAGAGGAAAAGCCGCAAAGCAGAATACATCTCACCCCAACACCTTCCCACGGCCGGCAGGAGACACGTTCCGGCTGCCCGACAACCGTCCGCAGGGGTGACCTAGCACTKGGGTCACTGCTGCTGGCCCAGCTCTGCTAATTAGGGCTTGGAAACCTACTAAGCTGTTGGTGGGACCTCACACTCCTTAGCTAAGGCCCCTGGTCAGCTCTCAAGGTCCCAGGTCCGTCAGTCGGTCCCACTCCTGCTTTCTCTGGTGGCCAGAAGCCGGAGGCTGAGGGCGCTGGGTGGTCTGTGCTGGAGGCTCCCACCACAGGCGGAGCACCATGCCCCGGCCCTGCAGCAGAGCGGGGACAGTGGCCACGTCGGCTGGCAGTGCCTCAGGACCACAGGCCTGGGGCCAGCTCCGTGAAGTTTCGGCCGTGCTGGCCCCCCCTCCAACCCACCCGGCTGCAGCTTCCCATTCCCGGGGCTCTGCTGCTGCCCGCCAGGGAGACTGTCATCGTCTTGTGACTGTGAGTGTGACTGTGCCGGGATGTGCGAATGCGCGGGACCGTGTGCAAGGTATGTGACTGTAACTGAGGGTGTGAGTGCGTGAGTTGTGTGACCATGTGAGTGTAGCAGCCACATAAAACAACTCCGTTCCTCATATTAATGTGTGACCCCTGTGTGTGTAAGTGTGTGAGTGTGTGTGACCTAGCGTACGTGAGACCCCTATGTGTGTGAGTGTGTGAGTGTATGTGACCAGGTGTGCATGTGACCCTGTGTAAGTGTGTGAGTGTATGTGACCAGGTGTGCATGTGACCCTGTGTAAGTGTGTGAGTGTATGTGACCAGGTGTGCGTGTGACCCCTGTGTAAGTGTGTGTGTGTGTGTGTCACCAGATGTGCATGAGACTTGTGAGTGTATATGTGTGAGTGTATGTGACCCCTGTGTGTGTGTGAGTGTGTGTGAGACCGTGCCTGTGTGTGTATGTGTGCGTGTGTGTAGCAGCCACGTGGARGCAGCTGCGTTCCTCAAACCCCAGCCTCCAGCATACAGAAATGCTAGTGTGGCTCCAGCGAGAGGCGGGGAGGAGAGCGCTGGCCAGCTCCGGGGTGGTCTCAAGCCCCCAGGTGAGAGCACGAGTAGCCTCCGCCGATGTCCAGCACGACCAGCGCCACGAGAGGCCTGGGAGGTTACGATGAGCTCCCCAGGGCGGGAGCACTCAGAAGGCCCCTGGGGTGCTCAAACACAATATGGCCAGGCCACCAGAAGAAAACGCCCCTCTAGGATGAAAAGCAAGACACTATGAAAAGAACATCAAATAGTTTAAAATTCAAAAAATACCAAAAGAATAAATTGAAAGCATGCTAGAAAGTCAAACACCCTCATTGTAAAAAATGAAAACTAGGGGTCAAAGGTGAAGACGTGCACATTCAACCAAGCAGGAAAAATAATGGAGAAGAAATTTTCAGTAAAATAATAGAAGATAATTTCTCAAGGCTCTGGGATTCAGAAGTATTCAGATTGGAGGTGCACCTTGCATTTGCAGCAATATGATTTTTTTTAAGTCAGTCGCATTTTTGTGGAATTTTTGGACACAAAAGATGA